AACAGGCACCAATTTCAGCAATTCAGACCACTCATTATTAAAGTCCAGAGTCAGGACCCAGTTATTTAGTGCAGCCTACGATCCGCATTTGCTCACTGTGCTGTATAATCGACGGCCTTGTCCTGTCGTTCCCGCCTCTGCTTAAAGGACCCCGGAGCTCCGAGGGCTGATCTGGGTCCAACTTTTTTTTTTATTCAGCTGAGCTCATACAATAGCCCTTCGTGAAGCTAGTATTTAACGGATGCAGTATGAGGAAGTTACTGGAGCGTAAAGACGAACGCAGAAAGTTTGGTTCTGACTATAGAACAGAAGACCTGTACCTACTCCTTTATCTTGTCTTTAGTGTTGGGCCAAACCTTGCAACGTATGCACCGTAAACTGATACAGGGTGCAAGATGTAAAGGCCGATCATCTGTTGAGATTAGACGCTGTGGAAAATCTTTGGGAAGCTGATACGTCATGTGCAGTAAGAAAATGCACTTCAGCCTGGGGATAGAACGAGCGACGCCCGAGTAACGAACACAAACTGTTGATGCCGCGTTGCCACATCTGGGAGCAGTCAGAACCTCGGCTGCCGCTTGACGTTCATTGATCGCGGGACGGAGGCGCGAGCGTGTACGGACAGCAGGTGTTTTGCCTTTGACAGCAGACAGAACACACCTGCTCTGACCTCGGTAACTGAGGCTCTGACAAAAAAACATCACCACATGCGGCTTCCGTGCGTCCCATGCCGTTCGCCGTTGATTCATGTTGCTGCCAAGTGGAGCATATGAGCAGAATAGAAGAGTGGATCTGGAATTGAGCTCTGAGAGACCCCAAAGGTGATATGTGCTGGAAAAGATAAAGCACTGTCTATTGTAATAAAGTAAAAGAGCCAGCACTGTCTCACAAAGCGAGCTCGACATCCGTAATGTGTCTGCACAATGGCAGGGACGGGCTTGTTTCTGGGAGAAAGGTGGTGTTTGCATCGCTCTGCCGTCCACGTGCAGCACTGTTCAGATAAAGTACATCAAACAGAGTTGTTGGTGGCTCGGAGGCAGCAACATCAACATATTGTCTCTTTTGTATTCATGTTAGCAAACATGTGCTTACTCACACATGCAGCCGTTTCATGAGCAGCTTTATAATCCCTTTGGAGTTGAATTTAAGTTCAACATTCAGTCTCTTTTAGCTCCGTCTTTGGTCTCTTCCCACTCCGGGGGGAAATAACTGCTTCTTCAGCTGCTACATGCTTCACTATGTTCACCAGCTCGTCGCTGACTTTGTCTGTCGTTTGCCGCGGAGCAGGTTGTGTACTGTGGGGCTTTAGAGCTTTTTCATTAAAAATAGATGCGTGTTGTGCCTGAAAATGATGCTATGAGAGCGGTGATTGTATATCAAAACAGAAAACCTGCTGTAAAGCTCTGCTAAGATCAGGAAAGCTGCAGATTCTATATTTCTATACTACTGTGAGTGTCTGTTTTCACACTGTCACAGTGTTTTCACACTTATTTGGTCGTAGTGATGCCAGAGGAGGCAATAGTTTGCTACCAAGTGGATGCCAAAATTATTTAAAAAAAGCTTGTTTTTTGGTATTGAACATACTAGACGATGAAAACAATGGTGGAGGCAAGTGAGGTTGGCCGTGACCTTTGGGGAAAACATCTAACAGGACTCTTGTATGAAGATGGTAAGCATTTGAGTTAGAAGATCAGGGAGCATTTATAGCAGCCTAAAGCCAGTATGCAAATCAAATCAGGTTTATTGTCATGTTGCTGTACATACACAGCAGTACAGGCAAGATGAGAGAGCGTTTCTTCAGGATCATTCAACCAGCAAGTTCTGCAGAATCCACGTCTGGGATAAGACACTAAACGTTCACTGTCTCCTGAAGGGGGCGCTGCATCCATGCACGCCGCCATTCGTTAAACATGGAGAACCTCTTCAGGTCCTGGTAGGTCTTCAGGGACACAAAGACACACATGATGCTGCCCAGAGCTGTCTGTCTGTCTGCATCCCCTCCAGCTGTATGTCCGTCTGGGATGCTGTCATGGAGCCATGTTTCTGTTAAAGCAGACACACAGCAGTCCCTCCACTCTCTGAGGGTTTCTCTCAGCAAACGTCCAGCTTGTTGTGTAGGGAGCGGACATTGGAGAGCAGGAGGACGGTCCTGCTGGTCTGGAGGGGTTAGCCTTTAGCCTAGCATGGATCCTGCTGGTCTGGAGGGGTTAGCCTTTAGCCTAGCATGGATCCCGGCTCTCTTCCTCCTCCTCTGTTTACGTTCGTACCGTTAGCGCTGCCTTCTCTCTCGGGTAACTGCCGGCATCGTCTCTAATGTCCAAATCACAACCGATCGCCACAATTCCAGCGCCGTTCACTTTCCTGACGCCCAGCAAAGTCTCCCGGCCGCAAGTTTCGTGGAATGAACGTCTGGGATAGACAAGACGCTCAAAACGTTCACTTTCGTTGTCTCCTGAAGGGGGCGCTGCGTCTACGCGCCGCCATCACCGTGGCAATGGTGTCACAGAACATTTTAAAAGAAAAAAAAGACATCTCAAATGTTTCTAGTCACCTAAAAGACAGGCATCATGATCTCAAGGTAAGAACGAGTGTCTGTACCGACCAAACATGTCCTCTTACGTCTGGTGAATGTGATTTATAGGCTGTAGGATCTCTGTAGTACCACAATCCATCATTTATAATAGTATATTGTGTCACTTTTTGCCTTTATAGAAAAATGAAAATTGCAGCTCCTGTGATTTGGATATTGCAAATCCAGAAATTGCAAAATGGGATTTCAATATCATTTATGTAGGTTAGGTGTTAGGTGTGCTGCAGGTTCTTTATGTACAAGTTTATATTGAAGTGTGTAATTACAAAATACACACATTTTTGGTATCAGATTTGAGAATTGTGGAATTTAAATGCTGCAAAGAGACGACCACATTTCTGCTGTTGTGCCATCCCGCTCTGTGCACACTGAAAATATGCATCACGCCACATTAATGTCTAAACATAAAACACTGTGCTTTAGGAAGTCTTTCCCTCAGCGCCCTATTTATAATGATTCACAGCTCCTAATGTACAGATGGTAGCTATTCAGTGAGTCAACAGAAAGTATGAGCACACATTAGACGCTGCACCATGACAACGTGAAAATATTTTCAATTCGCAGCGGGCCACATGTCAGCCGGAGCTGCACTGATGGAAAAATCTTTGGCGGCTCATGAATTACAGTGGAAGGTACATTTGATAAATTATTGACAGCTCCTGCTAACTTATGTGACATGGCTGCTGCATTAGTGTGCAAATGGCTGAGCGGCGAGTACACCGGTCGCAACACCGCGGTGAGTGTATGTGGGAGGAATCTGCTCTACTGTCGTGTTACTGGACATAAAGTATTTCTGCTTCATACTGTACTGCCACTGAAATCTGAAAACTTTAGCCTGCACCTTCCACTGTAACTGTCTTCACACACGAGTCGATGAGATCCTCAGGAGATCCTCATTGGCTCGTGTGAAGTTCGAGTCTGACAGTCTGAACACGAGCTGCTCCGGAGAAGCAAAGGGTAGAGGCGTCTCTTCACAGTTTGAAGAAGCCCTCCAGTGAGACCAAAAACACTCCAAGTTCTCCAAGTAATCTCGCTACGTCATGCCGGCTGTCAAGTCAGCTCAGTGCCGAGCCGGAGAAACCACCCAGACCTCAAGGCAGTCAATTAGAGCTGCATGATCAAATATGTCAAACGCTGCATAAGGTCCCAGGACAAAGGATGAAGCATCTCCGGCATCTGCTGTTGGAAGGAGGTCATCCAGGGTTCACGGTGGAGCGGGGCTGTTTAAAATGACGCCGCTTTGATTAGGAACAACTCTTGTAAAAAGGACTTTGGAGATTTGGTTGTTTTAATGTAGTGTCATGATATAAATGTCATCGTTTCCTGATGTTAAAGACACAACATTGTACTGCAGCTGCTTTGTTTTCTCTAAAGTTCAGGCTGCATAGTGGAGTGAACAACGATGGCTAGCCTGCATGTTCATCAGCTTCTTTTTTTTTTTTTAATCTGGTCATATCCATCCATCCATCCATTACATCCTCACTAGGGTCACGGGGGGTCTATCCCAGCTGACTCAGGGTGAAGGCAGGTTCACCTGGACAGGTAACCAGTCTATCACAGGGCTACTCTTAGAGACAGACAACCAAGCACACTCACATTCACACCTACGGACAATTTAGAATCACCAATTAACCTCAGCATGTTTCTGGACTGTTGGAGGAAGCCGGAGAACCCGGAGAGAACCCACGCTGCACGGGGAGAACATGGAGACTCCACGCAGGTGGACGCGAACCGGCGACCTTCTAGCTGTGAGGCGACGGTGTTAACCACCGCTCCACCTTGCAGCCCTCTGGTCACATCAATACCACTAACTGCTCAAGATATGACCACTTTTATTTTTACTGGGACGGCATCGTCACATTAGATTTTTCTCACTTCGTCCAGCTTAGAGTTTGGCACAAACGTCAGACTCAGTTTTGACTAGAAGTAGTAATGATAAAAAAATCCATTACCAGGAGCAGCACGGACAAAATCGATGCAACAAACTTTGTCAAAGCAACATCAAAAATTGTCTTCCTTTCAGTGCAACAGGAATATTGTTTTTTTTTAATAGCAGCAGTTTGTCAGACTGAAGCCACAGACTGTGTGAAACAGAAAAGCAAGCCAGAGTTAACTTTTGCTCGGTCGGTTATCGTATTATCTTTTATTTGTTTGTTTTCATAATCCACTCAACCTAATTATCTATCCCTATATGTAAAAGGATATTAAAGTCTTGAGGGGAAACATCACGACGGTATTAGACGGCGAAGATTTGCATAAAACATGTGCAAGACGCTCGCCCAATCCAAATGTTCCTCTAAGTACTTCTGTCAAGCAATTATACAACAATTACAAGTGAAGTGATTTGATGATTCACAGCTCTGATCAGAGCGAGGGGGAAGAAGAAGAAGAAGAAGAGGATGTTACTCACCATGTCTGTGTCTGACACCGGCCCGAAACTCGTCACATAGATGTTTGTCCTCACTTCTGTCACACTCTCTGAGGAGGGAAACGACAAGGACCACAACACATTACGGTGCAGTCTGTGTACAGAAACTCTGTCTTTGTGAAGCTGATCGTTTGTGTGCATGACGCTGAAGTCTGCCTGTTGGCTTTTTGACTAAGCTGCTTCACAGAAAACCCCCAGCAATCAACGGCGAGAGAAACACCTCAGACTGAGGCAAAACGGAAGATTTATGCACGCTCAGAGAAGAATTTGTGCCCTTGTGAACGGCTTAATACCTGGATTCTAACTGTCTTTGTGCATCATGTTGTCAAATCCGTGTCCTTGTTGTTGTGACTGCACAGACTGCATGTTTAGGACCATGTTGTCCGACCGGCAGTAATAGAGATTTCCTAAAACGTCGGCTGAAGCAGCAGCGGTTGTAACACACCCAAGGATTCGGCCCAGGAGGGTTTTTCTCAGCCCCAGTTCAGAGGCAAAATGTTGCTGTGAGCAACTTCACAGATGCTTTTGAAAGTCTTTCTTTCAGTAAAACTACCATTTGTTTGGCTCAAGCTAGTTTTGTCCACCACAGCATAAAATCTGCTTTGGGCCAGGCCCAAGTCTGTATCTTTGCAGAGAAGACATCCCTTTTGACCCAAAATAATTTTAGTTAGCCTGCCCCAAAAACATTTAACAGTCCCTAAGGGAGCACTGGCTCAGGAACAAAATGCTGCAGCTCAGCATTCACCACGCAGGCCTGTGTATATTTTTTTTATTCAAATAATGCGCACATGTTGTTGCCATTACACAATTCTATACACACATCATAATCACATTAGACATGATGGAGTCTATTGTGGTATGAATCTGGCATGACTCGTACAAGGCTTTCCTGCTCCGTCTATTCCCAGAGCCAGTGCATTTCTTTAATTATAATTACGTGTATCATTGCACATTACAGCACAAACTACATAATTGCTTTTGTTCCTTCATAAGGATTGATAGATGATTCTTGGTGCTGCGACGACAGTCAAATAAATCATTGTAGGGAAGGAAGGAGTGTTTTCAAACACGTCACATATGGTTTTAATACAGCATTAAGTAGGCCATGATATGAAAGTCGTGACGGATCAAAATTTGCCCTCTTCAGTGTGGGCTGAATCAGCTCCTCTGGGGCAAATGTGTAAAGCAGGCTCTTGGGCCACTGGCGAGACAAATAGCTGCTCCCAGTGGTGCAGCAACTAGAGAGCGATGAGGGTTTTCTCCAAAAGTGAATAGATCCTCGGCTCTAACTGTGTCCCAGATCTAAGCGACCACCCACAGGTGAAGTCTCTAATCTTTTGGCAAAGGGCCCCCCTGAGAGAGGAGATCCACTTCCACATTAATCATCGCCGCGACACAAATAGCTCTCACAAATACGCGATTATCACAACACCAGGTCAGCAGTTTGTGTGGCAGACATAGGCCGGGGAACAGAATGAGTTGCCCCGTTCCTGTTTACAACAATGCACCGGAGCATAGGGCAGAGCTAATAGATGCTGCTGAAAATAAAATGAAATGGCATTTTCCAGTTTCCAGCCAGTCTGCGCGTCTGAGATGGTCCCACATGACTGTTTCTGAGAAGGACTAGTGAAGCATGGAGGTGGCCAACAGGAGGAAGATTGGTAGTTTTGTTATTACGCAGGCAGAAGCTCTGGGCTGAGGATGTTGCTCAGACCGAGGATGGTTTCTGGTTTGTTTGCAGGCAGATGCTAATCTGAGGCATTAGTCGGGGGCCTTGGCGTCCTCTTAAGAGTGATCAGAAATGAATATTTATAGCAAACTTCTTGTAATTTTACAACACATTTTAACGACTTGCTTGAAATGAATTCATACTAATTTGCAGCTCAAAATAACAATGATGTGCTGCGATGCTAGGGCTATTAGCATAAAAAAACCCACTCGATGTTGCATAAATTAGACTTAAACTGGGATTTTTATAATGTTTTGGCTGTTGCTTGCATTATGAATATAACAGTCGAGCGTTCTCTGTCTTAAAAATGATCTGTAGAGAAGAAATGAGGGATATTAAAGGCGGCCTGATGAAAATAAACATTTAAAATGTGGATAATTCAAACTGATCTGCAATTTAAACCTTTAAAAAAACAATCTACCACACTGTTACAAATTTAAATATACAACGGCACTGTAAAGGGCAGCACACCCTATGTTGAGCCTCTGAAGCTGTGACGCTCTATTGACCTGTAAATAAAGTGTAATATTTCAACCAGTTAGCGTTTTAGCCAATTAACCAATTTGCACTGTGCTCGAGGGGGCAGGAAGAAGGAAAAAGTTGGAAACGCCTGCTCGGCTTCACAGCTCTGTGCAGAATCTAACAGCCAGTCCAGGAACAGGAAACCATCCTGACTGCAGGCTCTGACTGGTGCCGGCCTCATCATCCCGTTGCCCTTGGAGATGTGAGACTCTGCGCAGAGGCAGCACGTGACATTAATGACCTGGTTCCTCGTCCTGGTTGCTGCCACATAGTCCAGGTCATCCAGCCTGGTGGAGGGTCCGCCGCCCTCCGGCCACGCTTGTGGCTTCGGCAGCAGGCAGCGGAGCAGAAATGGACATTACAGCTGGCTGGCTGAGGAGTGGCAAAGCCTGTTTGAGCATTCGGGCTTGCTGTTATGCAGTTTGTTGTCCTTGGGGGACGAATATTTGGATGAAATGGCATCAATTAGTGGGATTTCCACTGACATATGTGGTTATTTGCCATTTGGGCATGATTGAACAAAGACTTCCACCCAGGGGAAGCACATTTCCATAATAATGCTGCACAATGTGACCTGACTTCATTGTGATCCGGGTGTCGGTCTGTCCTCTGTACAAGTTAGCATGCCTCCTACTGCCCACTAGCAGCAGATAATTACTTTTTAGATCCATTAGGCCATAAAATACAATATTTCAAGATTTAGCAACAGAGTGGTGTCTGATTAAAAATAACAGAAAATGTCAATATTATTCCTAGAGCAGCACAGTGTTGGGCTATAAAATATATTTATAGAGCACTGAAAATGTTTGGATTGCTGGATGTTGTCATTCTTTGTAGATAACACATTTTGGAACCACTCGGCCCGTTTTAGGTGTAGATCATATAAATAGAAATGTCTTCACTAATATCACCTGGGGCCCTGTTTTTTTGCATTTTTTTTTTGCATTTTGGCTGAATGGGACTAATAAAAAGAGGTACATGTGTGTGTACCCTGCAGAGCAGATCAGAAGGAGTGTGCTAAAGGCTTTAAAAAAGTGCATTTATAACCTTGGTAAGCCGTGTGTCAGCCGCCGCCGCCGCTGCAGCTGCTGACTGCGTTGATAAGCGGCCAAGTCATCGTAAAGTAACTGCACCTGTCTCTCATCTGCAGAATCAGACGTGGCAGGTGTGCAGTTTCTCACTAAATTTGCTTTTTACTTGAAAAACTAATTATAAATGCATTCAGTTATCTAAGGCAGTGGTTCTCAAACTGGGGGTTGGGGGCCCCATGGGGGTCCCGAGATGATTTCAGGGGGTCGCCAGATCATTGTGAAGAAAAAATAAAATGAAGCCTACATTTATTAAATAAATTTGGATTAGGGCTGTCCTTTTTTGAACTTGTTCATATTATGATTTGATTAGGTGATAATATTGTTATTCTTTTTTTGCTGTTTTTCAAGTTATTTTCTTTTGTTTTTATATATTTTTTCCATTTCATTTGTTCGAAATAAATTCATTCATTCATTGAAAAGACAATTAATGTAAAGAGATTAAACTGTGAAATTAACACATTCGTTTTTAATGCATGAACAACAAAGTTAGTACTCGTGCCGTATTAAAAATTCAAATTAGGGGGTCACAAACTTATGTTATCTTGGGGGTCGTGGCTCAGAAAGTTTGAGAACCTCTGATCTAAGGCGAGGTTTTGTACACTCACTTAAAATCATGTGTTTATGTTGTTTACAGCAGCAACAGAAGTGCACATAAATAAAAGATAAACAATGTTTTCTGACATAATATTGGATGAATAAGTATCTGTGACATGCTGTGATGCCTGATCACATTTCCATGTTCGTCTGCATCCCTGTGAGCAGTCTGATGCACATCCTCGCTGAATCCTTTTTCTTTATTTTCCGTGTAGGTGTGTGTGATTTATCTGCTTACCTCCCAGCCCAGGACGTAGCCTGTTGTCATATCCATCCAGCAGCCTGTCTAAGATTCGGGTGAAGATGGTGATATTGTCTTTGCTATCATCAGGCAGCGGCTCTCTGTGTCCAACGACTGCCCTGCAGGGAGAAAGGGAAGGTGGAGTCAGAAAACAGGAAAAGATATGAAATCATGTAACTGATTTGCTGTTGCGTAAGCGAAGCCCCGACACATTTCCGCTGTTTGTTGTGTATCAGATCTATATTCTCACAGTGAATGTCCAGGTTCGTGTTTTACCACTTGACCACACAGATCAATATATGAACGATTCATTCATTCCCAGCTGTCTATAAGTGAATTATTCGTCGCATGTTGATTTCAGGGGAAGTTGTGAGTATAATTCTGGTGTCTGTTCAGTAACTTTGATCAGTTTGTCATTACGACTAATTTCATCTGCATGCGTGATGTTTCTCCCACCGAGAGAATCTAACGTTGGCGATCAGCCTCGGGCCTCAATCAATATTTGAATAATATCGTCTGGTTTGTTTTGTCGCATCGTCTTTTCGGGCTGGAGCCTCTGTATTTACAAAAAAAAATGGTCCTTATGGTAATGAAGTTCAAAAAGAAAATGCTCGTTTTGTTAGAGACTCCATCGTATGCTACCAGTTCTTCATTTACATGCCCCGCAATCCCCCCGCCGAACAATATTGCGGCGAGATGAAAAGGCCACTGTACTGTAGGTGGAACGCTGATGAGTTAATGAGCACCGTCTTTAATTAAACTAAAATCCCCAGAGGAGCTGACCTATAATATCCAAATAATCCCCGTCAACCGCCGCCACTCTGCTCGGCTGGGACGGAGCTGGAAGCGAACATTCCCAGAATCAAAGTTGAATTTCCCACTCCATCCGCTCTCAGCTTAATGCGTCCTATAAAAACAACTCGACACGAGAGTCCACCTGAGCCACGAGCGTCTCCATTAAAACACTCAGCGGGTGAAGGTCACGGCTCCTAACGTATGCAATTCTAATCATTTTCAGCTCAGGCTGTTTGGGGAGCTCGAGCGCTCGCTCTCCACGGAAAACGCATCATAATTTTCAGGCATATGGGCAAATGACTGCAGCCCGGCTAAGTGGCTGTTACGAGGGCATATGTGGGCAATAAATGAATATCAATTAAGCATCAGGACTCCCTCATGTTCCGCCGATCGCGTCCTCGCTCTTGTAATGATTCCTGTAATGTACAATAAACCGCGAGATAAAGATTTATGTAGCGCCCAAAAAAGCAGGATTTTTTATGAAGCAGCAACTGTTGGGCCGACACGCTGCCTGAATATTACAGAAAACATTTGGTTGTTCGTGTAGATGCATACGTGCTTTCTCCTTTTTAAAATTAAGGCCCCGATCCTTTGCGTTCACTTTCCTACTGTTGTAGGCTCAGTGAGTTTACACCCAGCGCCGCTCAGTTCGGTAATTTTCCTCGTCGGCGGCGGCGGCAGAGTCCGCACGAATTTACACGTCGGAGGAATTTGCGGGAAATGAGGCGTGCGCGTTACCCAGCGTTCCAGTGTGTAGCGTCGTCCCGCTGATTGACTCATTGACTGCGTTAGCGGCCGTGTTAAATTACCGCTAAAGCAAACGGAACGTCCCGCTTCGTGTTGGGAGGCCAGGGCGGCGGCTCTTATTGTGAATCCCAGACTAAAAATGCATCACAGCAGCCTTTTCTTTATTATTTTTATTTTGACAGCAGATCACTTTTAACCATCGAAGGGAGTCGCGGCGCTTTAAAGGACTGTTAGAGGAAGAGCTGCAGGCGGCTGACTGCACACCTGTACTGTGTGCAGATTGCTCTCTCAATTATTTTTGATTGACTTTTTGAAACGTTTGTTTGTTTGGCAGCGCCGCCGACAGACGCGCCAGCTGCTCTTTCGCTGGATTTTTTTTTTGACAAAGCGGCTCAGAGAACGTTTGCTGCTGCTCTATTAAAAACTTCGCAAGGTGACCGAGGATGTTGCTAAATCAGCCGAGGCCTGAAAATCTTAAGGATCGACAACTCTTGAGAAGAAAGTAACCGCGATTAGCCAGATGATGTCAGATATTTGAGGCTCAGCAACTCCAAAGTGCACTCCGCCGAGACCGAGCCTTTTAACACTGAGCTCACGACTTGCACCTCATCGAGCGGGGCCACAGTTTGATATATTCTGCTTGTCAGACGGGTACCTAACTGTATAATTAAGCTCTGGCAAAAAAATATGTTAAAATATGACAGCGTGACAATGTACTCATACATATTTGAAAGAAATACACTGGATGTTTCTGGGTTTTCATTCACCCGCCTTATCAAAAATTGACAGGCGCGAGTGTTTGAAGCGGCACCGCAAAAAAAAAAACACAAAATACAAAAAGCTTTAGAAATGCTCGGGATGAGTTTAACTGCAATAGGTAATATCTCACTTAACATGAATCATATATCAAACAAAAGAGCCCTCTGTGGCCCCTCCAACAGCGCCGGCGGAAATTCAAAAATTAATGAGAAACCTTTAGTCCTCGAGAAACCGTTCTAGCTCCGCGTTCAAATATCCACTTCAGAAAAACAAAGCGCCTGTGTGGTGTGTAGCATCTGCATGTTTTGCTGAAGCGCACACACACACACACACACACACACATCCTCGCCTCTTCCGGCAGGATCCAGCTGTTTACCTTCACTCATGAGGACAACAAAAAATAAATAAAAAATGGGACATTCCCTCTGAATTTGATTCCATTTTTCCTAAAACACGCAGGTTTTATAATCACGCCAGCTGCTAAATTTACTTCCTCCGTCCCCTTCATTATTCACACTGTCTCAATACCAGCACATAAATACATAATAGGAAAAGAAGGGAGGACCGAGCAGGCGTTACACTCCTGAGCTAGCCACACATGAAGACAAAAACTAGTCAAAGAGAGCAAATCTGGTGGACATTTTTGCTTGCAGGAGAAGTAAATACAAACGTACTGTAGGTTGGCAGATGTCAGAAGTTTCACGAGTGTAATTTCAAGCTAAATTTGACAAATCCTGCCTTTTATTAAACATTCATATTGGTCATGGGCTTAGCATATAAATAATGTTCATTATTAATAACCGCCAGGCAGTCGGACTTCATTATTCCGCGTAGCCGCTCTGAAGTTTGACGGTTTAAAGTGAATAGTGAGTATTTGATCAGGAGATGAGTGATATTTACCAACGCTGTGTGAGGCAACACTGGAGGAGTGTTGGTAAAAGGGTTTACATCAGATGGAAACGGGTAGAAATTACAGTTTTTGATTTGTGGGATTGGACGAGAGACATTTGGGGGTTGAAGGTGAGCGCAGTCCTGGTTTAGTGAAAGGTGACGTTTTGTCTGCTGGTACACGGAGTTCGCTTCTCGTCAGCCGGAGGTTTTATTAGAATAACTGAAATCCGCTGTGTGGGAGGGAGTGTGGGACCTTTAGGTTGACAATAGGCTTTTTTTTTTTTGCGGTACATACTGTGCTTGTCACACAAGAAAAGCAAAAGGTGCCGCAAATAACGCTAACAATGGCCTCTGCTATGTTGTGCTCCAGATAACACCGATAACTGTCACGGTAGCGGGAGGCGCTGAAATTACGGCATTCAGTTGTTGCTTCTTTTCTCAAACAGCCCACATGTATAAACAGGAATCATGCTGCGCTTTTTGCTGGAAAAGAAAACGTTTGGTCTGTTTTTCACATTTGTCTGATTGCTAAAAAGGTAGGCAGTGCTTTACTCTGCTCTGCTGCTGTTTATGTAATTAGTTGAATTAAGAATGAGTCTAGAAAGTAAGTTTATTATTTAAGGTGTGTCAGCGTTAATTAAACCTTTCTTTGTTACCAGAGTTATTCCTGCTATTGTAGGACTTAAATGTTGTAAAGCACTTTGCGTTGTTGTTGCACATGAAAAGCGCTATACAAATAAAATTTGATTGATTGATTGATTGACTTAGATTCAGTTCCTAAACTGTGTTGATAGTCCGTCACCACTCTGGAAAGAAAGGATGCTGTTATGGACAGTGCCTCAAAAAAGTATTTATCCTCCTTGGAAGGTTCCCATTTTTTGACATTGGTCAATTAAATTTTCTTTTTTGGACAAAAACTTTACAAAAAAATGACTCATCAGAATCAGAAACAGATTTATTGCCAGGTATAGTTTGCACAATACGAGGAATTTGTTCTGGTGAGTTGGTTAAATACACAGTGAAATGTGAACTCTATTTAAATGTGAAATATCATCAATGACCATGCTGTGCAATATTTTTCTAAATTCATACTGTACATATAACTTATACTGTATATATAACTTATCTTATTTTATATTTAAATCTCTTCTATTTAGTTTTTTGCTCTTTATTTTGTTCTTTATTCTATGTTGCACTGAAGGAGCTGCTCTTAATCTCATTGTACATGTGTATAGTGACAATCAAGGCATTCTATTCTATTCTATTCTATTCTATTCTATTCTACAGTGAGGAACAATGTACAAGATAAAAATAGTGAGTAAGAATTAACTTAAGCTAAAACACATTTTTACACAACATGTCCACTGTGAGGCATGGCGGTGGCAGCATCATGATGCAGAGAAATCCTGTCTGCAAGAGAACTGCAGCTTGGGAAAACATTTTCTTTATAGCAAGACAGTGAGCTGAAGCATACAGCCAGTTTGGGGTGAAAGTGCAGTGTCCAGATGTGGAAGTCTGATTAAAACATATCTACTTTTATTTTTAAGTTATTGACATTATTTTGTAGAAATCTGTTTTTTTCCCACTTTGAGTCTTTTCCATTATCCATCCATTATCTATACACCGCTTCATCCTCACTAGGGCATGAGTCTTCTCAAATAAGCCAATTTAAATTTACCTTAATTCAATGTTTAAAAGCAATTAAAGGAGAAAATTCCAAAGGTGGTGAACAGTCTAAATTGGCTCCGTATCAGAGGGCTAGACAGCTGCATGTTCAGACGTTGTTTTTGAACGGATCGTTTCTAATTTGTGGTGTTTTCAGCCCATTTGCAGTGAATCTTTCAGCCCTAAAAAGTGTTTGGTTAGCCTGGTTTAACCTGCACAAGAGTGTGAAGGCTCCTGTTTTGTGCTTTTGCTGCCACAGAGG